GATTGAGCCTAACGTAATGATGTTTCAGCGACAGCGATACTTGGTGAATTTCCTTAGTGCCGCTCGCTTGGTCGATTTCAACTTTCGCAATTGGCTCGTCTGCCAAGGAAGGTGTGACCCTTTTCGGTGAACTCTCTTTGGAACGTGTTTGTCAATGACATACGCCAAGACATGTGAAAAAGTTTACGCAGTTTCAACGTTATCAGGATCCAGGACGCTTCCCCAGTCTATGCTAGACAGCACGTCGATGATACTACTATGATCAGCTTTCCGAAAATCGTATGACACGTTTGTGGAAATTTCTTCAAAATCCCAAACGTGACTATCTTGGACAGTGACAACGAAAGGAGGATGATGAGGAACTTGTTTTACTAGTGGAGAAGGTGCCGTGGAGATAACTGGAGCAGTGTCCTGAGCGTTAACGAAACAGAGGTCTAAGCTTCGATTGTTCTCGTTAACTACGTCATGGATTTGAGATAGCGTTGCTGCACTATAGCTATCGAGAAGGCTAACTGATCCTGTATGAAATACAGAGCGTACAGGGTCTGGATAGAGAAAGCCACTGTGAGATGGTTTCCACGAAACATCAGCTAGATTGAAGTCACCCAGAACAATTATCTCATCAAACGGAGGTGGAGTTTCCATTACGGCGAAAACGGACCGACAATGGGTTTCGGTGTCACGAACACGGTCAGGAGCAATGTACACCGCACATAAAGTGCAGTGTGCGATCACTCAGTTCAACGGCAACCCATGCTTGTTTCACACGCGTCATTTTCTAAAGCTCTCGTCTTCAAACCGGAACGGACTGCCACAAGAACACCACTTCCATCAGATTTCCGACTGTTTTTAGGATTTCGGTCGCAGCGAAAGACTTCATACTAGCGTCCAAACGCCTGGCTGGAGAGCGTTCGAGAATCGAGCCAAGTCTCGGTTAGAACGATGACATCATAGCCATTGGCGTAGCTAGATAATTTATCTGGAGGGGGCCTAGATAATTCTGGAGGGGGCCTAGATAATTCTGGAGGGGGCCTTACCCTCACTGGCACCACCATTAGCTACGCTAATTTATAGCAACGGTCCGATACAGCTAAGCGTAGTCGTTAACACCAGAATTCATTCCACCGATGTTCTGGTAATAAATGATCTTGTTTATGACACATGGTAGCACGAGGTTGGACGTTATTCCTGGAAATCACGGAAAAATCAGCCAGTGAACGAACATTAACATTACCATGCGGATACTCGCAATAGTGAGTGGGTTGGAAGACCCCATCTCCACATCCAACCACAGGCCCGGAACGACTATGAAGACGGTTAGACTGGGTCGCAGGGATTGGGGGCTTCCGGGTTCCAAGTAACAGGTGTTAACGAAACGTTTCCACGATCAGCGATTGGATTTTGGAAATACGTGACAAGCAGAGGCCTGAATGGCGGTCATGCTTTCATCTGATCTTGTCCTTCTGCTTATAACACGATTTGCCATCCCTTTACACCTTGTGTACGTCAGGTAGGGCCGTATTTAAATAAGGCCCGTGATGTTGCCTACTGTCAAACTAATGGGATTAATATAGGTATGTTTGCCCCCTGGTGACAAGCAATGCATAAGGAATGGAAAAAAAAAACGTGATGAAAAGGGGTAGAGGGGCAAATTTTTCCTTTATTTCACATGACTTGCTTAATGTATGCTCCCTTATCAACTATTACTAAATTTTCGTGGAAAATGACCGACCGAGCTTCTTTTACAGTGCTTTGCCGATTTTGTCAGCTCCCGATTTGGTCAGCTTTTTTTTCCCGATTTTGTCAGCCTGCAGATTTCACTAAATTTTTGAGTTATTAAACATGAATTCTCAAACTTTACGCTGTGAATAATGTTTATTCTTACACTTTGCTAAAACGTTAATATTAGGGGAAGCGGGGATAAAATGTACCTACGGGGTAAAATTAACAATTGAAGATTTAAAGTGCTTTTTTATTCAAATATTAATCAATTCAACGTACAGCTCTTTCATCCAATGTACCTTTTAAATTTTAATTCATTTACATTGATTTATTATTCTCCTACTAAAATTAATAGTTTTGAATTGCTGTTTGCTGGAAAAATCTTTTTTGCCACGGAAAACCTGTTTCTTTTTCTTTTTTTTTTGCAATTGTAATGAAAACATTGCTTCATTGTCAGCAACATTTATTCTTGAAAAATAAAAAAAGAGCATTACATATTTTATTGAATTGTACCTACATGTTTTGATTGACTTTCAATTTTCAAGAGATTTCGTCATCCCAAATTCTCGAATTCAACGGAGATAAACAACATCGTCAATTGAAAGGGACAACACTGCAACCTAATCAGCCATAGGGCTTTTGTTTTGGATTGTCGGAGGTAGGCAGTTTGGATTCCGGAAAGGGGGATCAACGGTGGATGCAATTCGGACAACGGTCGAGAAATTCATGAAGACGTCCAAACCCAAGCGAAGAGGAGATCGACATTGCACCGTGATAACGATCGACGTCAAGAATGCGGTCAACAGCGCAGCTGGAAAGCCATTGCCAAAGCGTTGCATAGAATAAGGGTCCTGTGCAGGATTCTGAGGAGCTACTTCCAGAACTTGATTCTGGTCTACGAGACAGACATGGGTCCATCCTTGGTCCAACGCACGCTTTGCCTTGAAGTGCGTGTTGAAATACCTGGAAGTAATGATCGAACCCGGTTAGACTTCACCAGCCACGTCGAATATGTCTGTGAAAATGCTTCGAAGGCCATCAACACAATAGCTAGAATGGAGGTCCAGCCTGGTTTGCAGCACTGGAAACGCAGCAGACCCAAAGGAAACTGAGTAGTACGTTTCGGCTCATGGCCATGCGAGTCGTGAGTGCATACATAACCATCTCATCGGAAGCAGTATGCGCTATCGCTGGAATGATCCCAATCGGCATCACCCGGTGGAGAACAGCGAGTACTACAGTCGGAGAGAAGCCGGTAGAGTGCGGGAAGTGATGAAAGCGGAGTCTTTGGCAAAGTGGAAATAGGAGTGGAACACGGTGGATAACGGTTCCTGTCTGGCCACGGCTGCCTCGGGAAATACCTGCATCGGTTCTGACACGCAGCGTCACCCCTCTGTCCGCAGTGTGTCAACGTGGATGAAACGCCGGAGCATGTGGTCTTTGACTGTCCAAGGTACGAGACAGTGCGAATGGAGATGCCTGTCCTCAACGTAGAGAATTTCGTCGATGAAATGTGTCCGGAGGAAGACACTTGGAATGGAGAGATGAGCAATGATCTAGCAACGTCAACTAACACTGAGAGTATGAGAAGTGCATGAGCACGGCCCCCTCGAAGTAGTCGCTTCACCGTGGTCCCGGGGGGATCCAGGCAGAGGAGAGAGTAAGGAATTGGTTTAAGTGGAGCTGCACTAAGCAACTAGTGGATACCAACCCGTGCCAACTTCGATACAGGTCTGGATTTTTGACCCCCCCCCCCTTTTCTCTGCTTTGAAAGTTAATACATATACAACAACAACACGTAAATAAGCGCTAATGGTCGTATTATCCCATAGCACCCCTTATCCTATAAGAATTTCATTATTCTGTAATAATTTTGATCAAAAAAATAATGGGACATTTTTTCCCGATTTTATCAGTTTTCCGTTTTCGTCAGCCTAAAATTTGAGAAGGGGCTGAGAAAATCGGGAAAACACTGTATTCAAAATTGTTTCAGCTTGTTTTGAGTAAGTTTCTGTATTACTCCTCAAACTTGCGCTTAGTACGACATAATTTGAAACACTTCATAATAATGATATGATACAAATAATGGCACAATCAACAAAAACCTGTCCAAGGTCACAGAAACCAAATTCACTTGTTCCATTTTCGCGCTCAAAACATACACGTGACCCACATTGCGCAAACATTCAGCCACACGCCGCCGGTCGGCCGGTGAGCCACACACTTCTTCTGGATGTGCACGATGATGATCCACCAGCCAACGGCTCCACACGTGACCAAAACGCGCGAACACCCAATTGTGCATCCAACAAGTGCCCTACATGCAGCCATCATGATTTGTTTGCGGGCAGGCAAGGCATAACAACAACGTCAACATGAACCGTGCCTGGCGTTTGGCGAAAGTCAGTCAGTCAGTCAGCGTTATTTTCACTCTCGAAAACCACCAACCACCCACCGGACTGCATCTCATTTCGAGATTGGTTGAAAAGAGATGGAAAAAGTGGGCGATGCTTCCCGTTTCAGTCACGAGCCGGCCACGCTTCCGTGCTTCATGAGCACACGTGCATGCGTGTGGCTCTCTCAGCTCAGCGCGAATGTTTGCTCTCCACTACATACTTACCACGGCGGGAATGAAGGCTTTGTTCATTTCTATGCGAGAGAGTGGGGGTAGCGCGATGAATGCTCGTACGGATTCGGGCTCTCCCCCACCACCCAAATCGAGCGAACGAAAGCTGGAGTGTTCATTTCGAGCCAGCTCTCTCGCATATCCTGCAGCGATCACCCGCTGTTGGCGCGCCCTTCTTCTCACCCGTCGAGAGCACACATAAACATAAAACTCGCATTCATCCTCTCCCTCTCCCGGCCTACTTGGGTGTAGAATATAACACAACAACAGAACAACGCGGCAGAACCAAGAAGAGTGATAAAAATCATAAACATTAACCGCCGGGAGTGGGGATGGCACATGCATTGCATGCGTTCGGCATACGTCATTAAATCAGTCGGACGTCGTTTGTACACATGACAAGTCACGTGTAGGCCTTACGGTCGCGCAAAAACCGGAAAACACACAAAACATAACGAGAAGAAAGACGGAAGCCGCCCGCCAAGTGAGCGAGCGCGTGTGCCCACACTAGAGGTCAACGGTTCCGCGGGCCTATTGGCCACCGGAAATTTTTGCAAAACACCTGATTCCTAACGAAGAGCATTTAGCCAAAAAGTTGAACACGAGTATTGTGGAAAGTGAAAGTGATAACTACGCTTTTTTTTCTGATTTCGCGACAAGTGCTAAACCGTTGTAGAAATGGATCATCATCATCACCACCATCACAGCACTCCCCTGCACTGGGGCTACTCGACAGTCAGTGGAGGCGGAGGTGGGGGCGTCAGTGGCGGCGTCGTGCCGGTTGCCAGCTCCACCCCCAACAGTCAGCACAACACGTGGACACCGCCGTCCTCCAAGGGAACGAAACGGACGCTGTCGGAGTCGTTGTCCGACGATGACCTGTACTCGGAGGAGTCGTCCAAGGAACAGTGAGTGTTGATTGTTTTTTTTTTTCTATGTTGATCCGGTCGAAATTTTAGAGCTAAGAACATTATTTCAATTTATTCTTGGGATGGGTTTGAGTTTAAGTAGAACTGATGTGATGTGGGTGTTCTCAAACAAAATAAAGATGTAACAATTAATTAATTCAAATTGATTGGAAAAATTTAATTGATTTTATGTGTGGATTGCAACCTTATAGTTTCCTAAAATTTTATTTATTTATATATGATTATGATAAGTGATATTTCAGCTGTTGTAATCTTTTTTTTTCAAATCAGGTCGTAAAATGTTTTCCGATTCCCAGAACCATATTTTTCTGCAATTCCCAGCAGTTTAATGTTGCCTCAAATTAATAGAAAAATGTGTCGATTAATAATTTGTATTGAACTTAAAATAGTTTGGCATACATCCAGCATTTCTATATACATCGATACTTTTCATTTCAAATAACCTAAATGTTCCAAAGACTCATGCAAGCATTAACCGATACAGTGACAAAAACTTGAAACAGTTAGAGAGATAAAATTCCTGTGTTGAAGACATGCTTTCAGGATAAGAAACTGTTCATGATTTAAATAAGGAAAGACATGAATAAAACTGGAATTATAATTTATAACGTGCCCTTGAGCAATGTTCTCGACTTTTCGTCCATTCACAAATTACTTGTCGCAAAGCATTGAATTCAAAACCCTCTTGTTTTACGTAATTCGTGATCAAACCAGATCAGTAAACTGATTGTACCTTTTGGCTTTTAGTCACCCTTAGAGGGTTCATTCGATCTACAAAATTTTGCCGATTAAACCTCTCGTCCTTGGATCTGTAGCGCTGTTTTCGTACAATCTATTACAGGTATCGTCCAGCGTCCACAAATCATAGGCATTTGCATTGCCACTTCGAGTTTTCTTGAGAGATAATATAGGCCATTATTGAACTCTCAGGCATTAAATTTGCATCACTATATTTTTTCCAGTAGCAAATAAATGACCGCTGGAAAATGCGAAGTGACACCAGAACCCAAACTTCTGGATCGTATCACCTTAAATAATTCACAGGAAAATTGAGAATGCTTAAAACCTGGCGTAAATCGATCATCATTTGTATTATACGTGAAATACAGGATGCGATATGAATTTTTGCAGTAAATGACATGTTTTACGCTAGTCAGTCAAATGCGTAATGTTTTTTTTTTTATTTTGTTCAAATAACACGATATATTTAAATGATTTTGATTGACAAACTCACCTTCTTTTTCGATGACTGTTGTCAGACGCTTCCGGAAACTGCTGTAAGTCCATTTTACCATGTTTCGACCTATTGATTTTGGCCTAGCCGTGCTGACAGGAAGACCTCCCGATCCCGGTATCCCGATCGAAGATGCCTCAAACAACATACTCAAAACGGATTGACATCGGGATTGGTAGGCGGCCAAACTTCGGAAAATTTCCGCAAGATCAATTTTTGCGTTCTCTTTCCATGGGCGACCTAACCTGACCAGGCAGAAGATCTATTGGTATCTCGTTCGTGGATGCCACACACAAAATAATCCAACGAATTGATATCAGGACCAGACATGAACAATCATTTGCATTCATTTCGTGCATTCATTTACATTCATTTGCCTCTAACTTTTTTCATCAACAGCATTCCACAAAATGATGTATGGAGCTTTTGTAGTTTTTGTTATACGCTACAACTTTTGCTAATAGCTCAAATCTGTATCTCTTATGCACCATGAATTAGAGTGGGCATAACTTGTTACTGTTTTTCAGTGAATGTAAAATACATTCACTGAAAAACAGTAGTGGCTTCTGTTCTCTCTGGTTCATCATGCATAAGAGATACGGATTTGATTTGTTGACAAAAGTTATAGCTAATAACAAAACCTACAAAAGCTTTGTACATCATTTTGCGGAATGATGTTGAAGAAAAAGTTAGAGGCAAATGAATGTAAATGAATGCACGAAATGAATGCAAATGATTTTCCATGCCTGATCAGGACTGCCAGGTGGCCAAACTTTTGAATCGCCAAAACTCCAGAACCTTTTCGGCGGTTCAGTTTTGCGTTCTTTTTGAATTGCGAGCTGATGTTTCGCTTAGTTGGAAGATGAAATGAAATTCTATAATATGATATACTGGTCTTTCCTATACGTATTACAAAAAAAGAATTTACTATTGTCCCAGGTACAGAAATAAGACTACAAATGAGCGAACGTTCTCTTGTTTCGACATCTTTCCGTTTACACAATATTGAGTTAGCTATCGACTGGTGCCAAATTTATCCAAGTCATATAACGCGAGCACGAGGAAGTTTTGCTTGAAATGTACTACAAAAATTCGTCACGCATGTGTAACTAAAGAATTATAGTATACTATCGTTAAATTAGGACAAAGAGACATGAAGGAATAATGGTTTATTAAATCATTCAGATCGTAAAATAGTCACCCAAATATTTGTTTGTTCTCAAAATTTAACTCTTCTATAGCTACTATGAAAACATGCATGGAATTTATTTGATTAAAAACTGCATTCAAAATTCAGTGCTCAGTACTTTTTTTACTTAACAAATTGGATGTTTTTCAAATTTATTTTTGAAAATTTAAAATGTATTTAAGGATGCATTCAACAAGTTGACATGCTGTAGAAGTTTACTTAGCTCGTAAATATAAATCATTTACTCACGATTTGATAGAAACTTGGAATACAATTATACCATTAATGCTTTAGCAACAAAACGTGATTTTCTGATATTGTTTACTTGAAGGTAGTAAGTTAACGCTTTCACTTTTTCTAAATCATGAACGTAAGCTTAAGCTCATTTAACCGTACACTCCGTAGTTGGTGCTTTTTGATTGACTAAAGCCGGCAGAACTATTTTTTTCACTCTTTACGTCCTTACGTTCATCGGACAATGTAGTAATTGTTAGGTCGACCAATTTGAGAAGATTGATTTTTACAAAACAAAGAAAAAGCGATGAAGACGATGAAAAATTATTCATGACTTCAAAGCAAAAATGGACAAGATATTAAAGAAACATACTGTCAACACAAGACTGACAAGACGTGACAAGAGTGAGGCCAAAATCTAACAATTATTCTGTCAAACGCAAACCAGTTCTTGTTTAGTCGATTTGAAGTGTCTTTTCGCGTGACATTCGTTGTCGTTACCACCTGGATTGAACGGTAATTACAGCAACTGTGGTATAAAGGGCTCGGTGGCCTAGTAGTGACCGCTTATGCTTACTGAGCACAAGATCATGGGTTCAATTCCATGTTCATTCGTTGTATAGAGTAGTTAGTGTTGCGGTGCCAACAAACGACACATCACTTACCATAATGAATTCTGATCTGCAACCATAACACACTAGACTGATGCAATATTTGAAATTTTCGCTCCACAGTGCTCAAACGGTTCCAAATTGGGTCCTGCTTAGCCTCCCAAAATTTGAACTACTTTAGTAAGAAACTGACTTGGCACTAACCATTTCAAGTTTATATGGGAATTACTATGGGAAAACTTATGTTTTTGTTTATATTTATCTATCGATTCACCACATCACTGTGCTTTTAAAAATGATAGAGATTGTAGAAAATTTTCTCAGCTACAACTTTGTTGAACACCACTTTTCAAACAAATGTACGGAACAAAAGTTATTAATTATTCAAGTCACTGATGTCTTATGATTATGCTCATTCAACTGTTCAGCAGGCAACATTGGTGTTCTTGGTGAGAAGAATAGAGCACAAATATCATGGCTACTATGTCACACTGCAGAATACAGTGTTGCTAACAGAACAGCTGCTTGATCATGCCATAAGAGTATCAATCTCTTAAACAATTAATAACTATTTAGTTTCACATTTAGCTGAAAAACGATATCCGGCAAAGTTGTAGCTTAGAAAATTTCCCGTAAGAATAGTTATAGAAATTTTCGAAAAAGCAATATGGAAAATGGGTAGAAGACAATGAACAAAAAGTTTGGTTTTCCCATAGTAATTTCCATATAAACTTCGAATGATTTGTGCCAAGTCAGTTTCTTACCAAATGAGTTTAAATTTTGGGAGGCTAATCAGGACCTGATTTTAAGCCGTTTGAGCACTGTGGAGCGAAAATTTCAAATTTTGCATCAGTCTAATAACACACATTCCTTCCCCATGATAGAGGTGGAGATGCAGAGATGTTCTCGGTCTCTAGTAGCAACGTCTGTCAAACTAATAGTCAAACTAAACGTTTCATCACTACCTAAAGCCCCACGTTGCCACTTAATAACAACTCAAGGAGGGAGTAGCCGTCAACAATGCTGATGATGGTACAGCACGCAAAAACCACCCTACTACCATAGAGCTAACTCTAAGACCAGAAGGTCCCGAAGAAACGTGCGCAACTTTTTGGCTCAGCTCTGGTACTCTTTTCGGTCCCAAGCTAATCGATGTACCCCTCGAGGCATAGGAAAATCCACGAACCCCTCATTTTATCTGTCAAACTTTCATAGCGAATCAAAACAAACATAGTGTAGTACTAGAATTTCGACTAGAATGGGGTACGTTAATCGATTTACTTGGGACCAATAGGCTAGTCAAGTAGTGAGCCAATTTAAAATCGTTAGTTTCCAACCGGTGCTACTACTTTCTCTCTGGGATGACCAAGTTGGTCATGACGAGAGGATCAACACAATAGTTGAGTAAAGAAGAATTCGACAGTGACATTCTCTTCGTTGATTTCCTCTTTTGTTAATAACTCGCTTGAATTAAGGTTTCTCAGTACATTTGCTGTTGCTTTTGATAGCCAATACAACCTGTTACAACTCTGCATTGAACAAATTCTAGAAAATTGTTTTGCTTAGCTGTAACAATGCCAAGAGAAAATCGATCAAGAGAATCGATCATCGCGTATGCGCCCTTATGCACACCATCGACTGGAAATGCTTTCGGCAACGTGGGGTTAGTTATTAAACGTCGCTAGAACTATTGCACAGCCGCAGACAGTAT